ATCCCAAGGACCTACTTTTCCTTGAATACGATAAAGGCAATAGGCAGGGGTCTCGGGCACGTCAAGGAAGTTGCTTATGATCCAGAGAAACCACACTTGCAGGAATACGTACGAGCTTTAGTGATAATTCAACTAGATCAGCCAGTAAGAGACACAAAGGTGGTGAATATTGCAGGAGGCAGATCTGCAACCGTGGAGATTGAGTATGAACGTGTCAGGAAGAAGTGTATTCATTGTCTACGGTTAACACACGATAAACAGAGATGTCCTCTGTTTCATGGGCAAAAACAGAGTCAAATGAAAGGGAAGGGTAAACAATTGGAGGACCTTAACACAAACGCATACATGAGACAGCATCATACTAACCTGGTGGAGAAGTTGATGCCACTTCTGGCTCCGGAGCTTCCTCCGGGTTTTGAACCATCCCCTTCTCTGGTCGTACCAGAAGTGTTCCAACAAATGAAAATTTACATGTCATGCTTGGACCCGCAGGAAAGAAGTAGACGGGAACAACTGATGATTCAGACGCTCAATAAATTGTCTAAAGACCCAAATGCTCAAAGCTCTTGTCTGAGATTGGAAGCTCCTCCAGTGGTTACCACAAGTCTGAACAAAGATAAAGGTTTAGTCTTTGATTTCAGTAAGACTCAGACGGAGGACAATCAAGGTCCTAATGCTTCTGATCAGGCAGTTACTGGAAATATAAGATCAAATATGGAGGTTGCTAAGCTTAACACAACGCTAGTACTGGCTCCTCAAATCAGAACAGAGCGACAACAGCTTCAGGTTACTGCTCCTCAAGAAGGCGGTGGTAATTTTGTTCCTGAAGCAGTCAATCCGGTCTTTACCATCGGAGCTACAGAGGATAGTTCTTATGGACTAAGTGGTCGGAGTAGGAATACTCAACATCGGTCTGTATCCTGGACTCGGAAGAGGAGATACAACACTGGACAACACGGAGGATGATACTGGGAGTAAAAGAAAGAAAACAAACGTTATGGAAGCGTCATCAAAAATTTCCAAAAATGTTGC